AGAGTGTTAACAATGACAATTACATGTACATATTCACATGTGGTATACTTAGTTGATGAAATGGTAAGAATGCTTCTCCATTAAGATAAACAAAAGGTGATAAATCAATAAGTGCTTACGCCCATTCTATTTTTGATACAACTATGTTGGTAGCTTTTGAAAGAAGCAAATTAACGCCCAAATATTAAAAAGTGGCTTTCAGTACAAGTTGACTGAATTTAAACAACAGATAGAAACCAGAAAATTTACGACTCATTTCTTCAAGTGAACTCATCAGTAGTATTATTAGATAGATAGATCGATAAATAAATAAATGATAGCTGTGTACCATTGGTTGTAAATTGTGCTACTTGCAGATGCTTTATCGGTTATTAATAATCTTACTTGAGAGAGCGTAAATATATAACAATTCACCTCTGTAACAAGTTTAATCGTTGATGAACATCAACACGTACTGTGGAATATGAAGACGATGGGCATAACATTTCTGTAACTATTCAATATAAATATTCGAACCACAAACGGTGGAAACGCACACAATAAGTGTATATGAACTGTAATCTATTTATTATTTTAGAATTCAGGTTATAAAAATATTGATGATGATAATCTGAAAAAAAGCTGATAAGGGGGTTAAAGTATAACATTTTCTGATGGCCAACATTTAGGCAATTATTGAGGCCATTTTTAGTGAATTCACTACTTAAAGTAAACATAGTTATCTTGAATAAATGACAAGTAATTCTTTTACACGATTTTAGAGAGACCCTAATAGTCAAAACATTCAACTAGAACTTTTTAAGACCCATGTCGAAGTAAGCCACTTATGATCAGTAGTTTATTATTTAACTGATAGTAGATTGTCTGGTTAGGAAATGGTTACAATGAGAAATGGGATACATGCACTGAATATAAGTTTGTCAGTGTAACGGTTTAGTTATCATTTTTGGCACTCATGGTGATGGTGAAAAGAAACAGACTGAAATCAAGTTTTGTTATTCTAGATCACACTCAAACCACATTCACTGTAGATTTTATATATATGAATGCAAGAGATGATTGCCATAGATACAGAATAGACTCAAAAATTGGAAAAAATTGGATGGAACAAGAATTTATCAATGAATGGGATTTATTCAAATGACTTGAAGGTGTTCTACTGGCATAATATAGTAAGAACTTCTTTGATCTCGCCCTGAGTAACAACGAGACAGCACATTCTTCAGGTATTTCACTAGAGAACAACACTTCTTCGATTATTGCTGGTTTTTATTAGCTTTTCTCAGTAGCACTGACTCATAAGCTATCTAAACTACCCTTCCTACCCACTGGGATGCAGGAACATCCAGCTGACGAGTCCACAAAATGATGAAACGCGCGCCCTAGATTACTCTGTCAGTCACCGAGATCAATATAATACCTTTCCTACAGTTTATTTTATGCATAAGTCGTGTTTACTTTGCGTCATAATTGCATGCATTTGTTGTCAATATTCATCAGTAATTTAACTTGTTTTGACAAGAATGTGCACATATCGCTTACACATAATTATAAAAAATGGTAATAAAAGTGAGTAAGAAAACAATCATAAAAATACTAGTTTATTCAAGAAATAACTTGTCGTATAACTAAAAGAATAAGTCCCTAGAAAGGATAGTCAGAATTTTTCATGAGATACACAGAAGTTTACGTCTAAGTCTCCGGCCTTCACGTTATAATTTCACAGGGATTTCAGAAAATGCCATAGTTGGCTGTCATTTAAAACTGATGTTTACTAAAGAGCAGCAACAAAACATGCAGTACAAGGCAACCGTTTCGATCTTCTTTGATATTTGTGATCATTACAAAACATAGCAACTCAGTGGTAACAATAGTGTTAACTACATCACTTTTCGAGTAGATCTTGGTTTGATAAAGAATAAAATCGTTAGTTCTATGCTAATTCCAAGTTGGTATTTACCACGGATTTGAAGATTATTAGATTCCAACCCAAAGGCTCAGTGGTAACGTACTGGCCGCGGAACCCGTAAACCTTGGGTTTGATTCCTGGCGGGGTTATGGGTTTGCACTACTGAGGAGTTCCATACTAAGCAGAGATGACTGTCCAGCGCTCCCAGGTTTCCACTATTTCTCTAACTGATATCAGTCCATGATCAACGTCATCTTGAAAACAATAAATAAATCCCCACAAACCTCCAAATAGAATTCTATATTAAGAACAAACTAAGAATGGAATAAAAAGATATTGTGAAAACGAAACAAACTCGTCTTAAAAGAATTTGAATAAACTGAACACCTTGTTCGTAAGTGAAAAAGAGTGTGTTGTCACAGGGACATAAAATTGCATAAAGTAATACTCAAATGAGATAGGGTTGCTCAATATATTCAGGAGTTCTTATCACTTTACTATTTTGAGAAGTAATTTGGGCTTTATTAATAGTTGGGTAAATATGTTTTTCATCATATAATGTAGGATTATGCTGTTCTTTGGAAAAATATTGCTTTTTTGGCAACGGATATTCATTAAGTCCATCTTATAACACTTAGTAGGATAGTGTAATACTTTGATGAAAGTATAGTAGGTGGTAATTTAAACTATTTGCATCAGCCATGTTTGGCTGATTGGTGATATGAAACTAGATGTTGAATGAAGGGGAAATGAAAATGTGGACCATCAGACTCTCGATTACCAGTTCGGTTTTCTACAAAAGGAGCCATGAAACCCAGTTTCTGATCAAATTTAAAATTGATTCCAATCACCATAGATTCTACTTAGGTGCCATATCAATCAATGATGCCTGTCTTTTCATTCATCATAACTAAACTGGCCGTTCAGTCAAGTTTTCACGTCTCAATTCTAATCAGACTAAATCATAAAGAAGGAACATTTTATTGGTTGTTATCGAGATTTGCATGAAGGCTAGAAAGAACACTTTGTGACAGAAGTGAAGCAAATCATGTTAGTCATGATTCACTGGTTGCTTGGAACATCATTCGTCAGTACTGCTGCGTCCAAACATTATAAAAGTTGACAGCACGCAGCTTAATCAGTGTCTGACCGGTATATATACCAAAATGTGTGTTATATGTCATTCTGAGTTATATAACATCAGGTATAGAAAGTCGAATTTTTCTTTTTCGTTGATGAACGTATAACCAAGAAGTGAACCTCACATGAGAATGACTAAGTATTGCATTTGAATTGTTCTTCGGAGTTTTTGAAACTGGAAATTCAAACATTGTTAGAAAGCATTCGCTGTTTGGCGAATATGTCTACGAATACACCGCATGTAACAACTACACAAAGTTGATGAGCCGTCAAGCGTTTACACATTTAACGTAACTAGAAGTATTTCGTTTTATCAAATCTAGTCATATGTATCTTTTACCAAACATTAAAAATAATAATGTAGAAACAATCTTAAGACACCCTGATATCCATTTGTGACCCTAAAACTGATTGCAAGAAAAGACAGTCAGTTGTTGCATTATTGCAGATATATTCTATGTATACTTCAAATGCAAGCACTGTGAACAATGCAAGGACATTGTGCCACGTAAAACAACTGTATAGTTTATTACCTTCCAGCTTTTTTCTGAAAATTGCTTCTGGTTAGGTTTTAGTTGGTGGAGGTCAAGCCAAATCACGACCTTTAATGCCAAACAAAAAGACAGTCATGGTCAACACCTATACAACTAAGTTACACTAATGACCACAACCAAAATTATAGCTAGTCAAGTGAACGGTAATTATGAGTGTTTGCCAGAGAACCACTTTTACTATTTTATGAAACTTTGACCATCTCCACTGAATCGATGTACACGTAAGCATTCAATTTCGTTTTCCTCTAATTCGGAATTTTTGTTTACAAAGTGACTGATTTAACTTATCTGGCAGTCGTTTATCCTACTTCGACAGTTACCAATGGCTAGAAATTATTGGAAATCACTTTCCAAAGAAATAAATCAAGAAAGGGTATATATAGTGAAACTTAGTGAGGAATAAAACAGATGGCTGATAAATGTAGTCACTAAGTAGTTTTGTTGATGGAGTCTAGCCTGCGACTAGGTCCCAGGTATAAATTCAAATTGAAGTCTGTATTGTTTCTTCTATTTTAACGATAATCATGCATCTGCCATTAAAAAGCTTTCCACTGTGAGCATTATCTACATTTACAGCTAAACAGCATAGTGGGGATATCATTCCATCAACTTGATCTTAAACTCACGAATAATAGCTTTCATAACCAATCTGATCTCTTACAACTGTGATTGAGTGACTGAGAACTTATGGAATGGCGAAAAAGGAGAGTGAACGAGGAGCGAAACAAATGACCAGATTTTCAATAATAGCGTCAACAAATTGAGTTGATACTAAATGTCTAAAGACTGAGCGAGAAAAGTAAATGCAGTTGTGTGTTTATTAACCTCTGCACAGATGTATCGAGATGATGAGTCGTACAAAGGGTGAAACACAAGCCCAGGAATCCACTGTTTCCTACCAGACAACTTGTACACTTGTTTATCTTGTGTTTTCTACAACCCATCTTTCCGATTTGATTTTGACCTAAGTGTGTGTTATGCTTTTCATGCAGCTCAGATATTTGGTTAAATCAACAATCGTTTAGATATTTTGATCACCAAGCTTGATTTCTTCAGTAATAATAGACTTACCTTGACAAGAAAGAAGACATTTACGATCAAACATCGAAGTCTAATAGAGCATTCAGCTACTGTCATACGCAGTCTTAGCTATAAGTTTTCTCTACCACCTTAATTTCAGTTCATACTAGTCAATAAAAAATAAAGAGATTTTCGAACTAAACATTTTCAAGTACCGAAAACAGATAATGACTGTGGTGGCTTAGTTGTCGAAGTACATATTCCATATTAAAAAATAAACAGTTTGCAGTAAAATTCAACAGACTAATCAAACATCTTTTAGGCATAATTATAGTAAATGGATTACAAACAAATGAAAACTAGTTACATTAACATACGTTCCATGTTCGATTCCTCTTACACAAGTTTGACAACCAATAGGATTGTTGTTCTTGACATTTGTCACTTCTATTTGGAAAAAATTTACATGATCTTGTAAGACAGCTGATGAATGAACATTGGATGAGGCAAGCTTTTCAAAAATCCAAATGAATTTAGTTCCACTGGCTTCTCGTACGTGATAACTGTTAGAATAAAAGTCAGAACAATTTTAGGCTTTCAAATGAATGAAAAAACAACTTATGACAATGAGTTATCAGAAAGGTCATCACATGAAATCATCAGATGCGCAACAAAAGGAGTATTTAACGGTTTTTCAAAATATTAAACAGTGTAAAGAGCTTCTTAACCCATGTCAAAGGTAATTTCCCAAGGGTTTACAACATAATTTTTGTTATAAAATAAAGTATACAGCTTCGAAGAGTTTATGCACAAGAGAAACGCTTTATGAATACGAAACTGAAAGGAATAGACATTAGAACGATTTATTTTCACCCTCAAGAAATCCATTAAAACTTAAAAAGTTTGAAAAAGTCCAGTCAAATCTCTAAAAATTACAACACAAGATAACAAGATCGGTTTTATGCTTATTAAAATAGTTCGAAAAAGATTTAAAAACTAAGGGGAACGTTTCATGCTGAAATTTCTTCACGTCCACTGAAATTAAAATTATTGAAACAGGAATGAAGTACTGTGGAGAGTTATCCACCATATAACTCACTCTCCAAAAACTGAAATGCTCAACATGCATTGGATAAGAATTATAACCATGTTTTTACACATATGCTCATAAAACAACTGTTTGGATATCTATAACTCATTTGAGGGGGAATATCAAGAGTAAAACGTTTAATCTTCATCTGTGATAAATAGCATAAAAATCATAAAAACTATAAAAAGGTTAAAATTTCTCTACAGGTTTCACAAGTTGATTTGTTAAAACGATGCCTGCTAACGATAGCTATCTACTTGGGTAGATTATTCGCAAAGTTGTTATCAAATATCTGAGTACTACTCTGTTAATAATTTTACCTTACTTGAATAAGGCGGTCTGCTTAAATCGTGGACTACCAAAAAACTTTTCACCTATTAGATTCCATCAGATTCTCCCCTTTTAGTTTTTTTTATCCTTTTAAATATATTCTGAACGTATTATCTAAAAACAAAGCGAAGTAAAAACACCCGGCCGGTTGGAGATGTATTTGTAAATGCTCAAAAATACACCATATTGCTATTCCTGAAATAGCTGTATGGGACTATGAATTTCTTTGCTGGCTGACTGAACTGCCGCAACCAAAATTACATTCTTTCTTGTGTTAATTTCCAAAATGAGAACAAATGCTAATGTAACACTAGGTACCCCGTTTCACACTTATGCCTTCAATACTATTGTCAATAACACTTTGTAGACATAATAATTATCTCTTTTAAAAATATTGTACGTAAAGCGAATTTGTTGAAATATTCCATGCGGCAAATTTCATATTGTATCGTACATGCTGTCTGTGATAAAGCGATTATCATCATCATCATCATCAAACAGACAACTGATAAAAAAAACTGCAGAAAATACTGATTGAAATGTATTTTGATAGCGCGACGTCATGATAACATACCCGCTGCTTACTAAAATATACCTAATGAAGAACTTCAAGTAAAACAATCAATTAAACTTCAGTTCAAATGAAACTACAATCACGAATCAGAATAAAGGCAGATTAAAAATTTCAGGTCGCTTCAAATGATGTATACGGATATCTGAATATTGCAAAGGATTGCAGAATGTACATTTCTACGTGTCAAATAAGTACAGATGATACAAGATATGACTACCTTCATCACTAATGAATTCCATATCATTAACAGAATAAAGTCTTCAAAATTCAGCCTCAGGGGTAAACAATAATAGATCCACTAGTTCACCGGATAATCTGTATATCTCCATGCAAACTAACAAAGCATAACTATGTTCAAATTCCAAGGAATAATATTTTATCACAATTATTTCCAAAATAAGATAATCACACTATCATCATTAAGGTAACATTCATCATGGATTAACATCATTTGGAAGACCACTGGGAACCTAGGAGCACTGGATGGCTGTTTCATCATAGTACAGGGCTGTTTAGCAGTATGCACTCACAACCCTTCGGAGAATCGAACTCAGAAAAAAGTCGTTAACTACTAACCCACTGAGTCAGAGTTCTGTCAGTTTGCCACAGAGCTCGACTATCATCTAAATTATTCACTTGGTATCCTCTTCACTTCTGTCCGGTTGGACACACAAGTCAAGGCTTTTCATTAGAACTTCGGTATATCCATCTCGAAGTATTTCACTGATAAGCCTTATACGACAATGTATTTCGAGGTTAATGTGAATTTTATTTTTGAGATAGTATTCATCATGGGCTAGTATCAGTTGGAGAACCATTAAAAACCCGGGAGCACTGAGTGGTCAACGCGTTTGCCATGAAACTTGAAGGTCTCCAGTTGGATTCCTGGCGTGTTCGTGAGTACGTACCGCTGAGGAGTCCCACATTAGACGTAAATGGCTGTCCACTGCTCCCAGACTTTAGATAGTTCCCTAACAGATGCCAGTCCGGGATGAATACTTCCTTAAAAATAAAAGTCTCATTAGCCTCAAAATAAAAACACTATCAGTTAACATGTAACCGTTTATATTTTCGAGAACATCGTAACCTGAATCATTATAACGATTAGCATTACATCCTGAAGTCTGTATAATCCATTACTGGACCAAATTTCACCAGTTATAGATATAATATTTGATTAGCCTGGCAGATATTCAACTGTTCATCATAAAAACTTCATAATAGTGACTAAATAGAAACCCAAATGATGATCATATTCGTATAACAATCAAATTGAAGTTAGGACAAGACTGAACTGGTTACTTTATGCTTCACTGTCAATTTTATCTTATTTTGAACTTTACTGTGTTTTGACAGATTATCAATAGAAACTGTTGGTTTTATTATGTTTGTATAAGAGGTTAAAATTTGTCTAGTAACGGTTAATGACAAAATAGGTAACTTCTGAAGGGAGATTTGAAAACATTTCTGAAGTGACTGTTGAGAAACTTAGAACCTGAAGTTAGAATATACTGTAAAATGACGCCTGAAAACGACTTCCAGTTCTTATTTTGATATCTCAATGCCATCTAGAGCTTTTTTGAGGTTATTTTCAAAATTTACTTTCGAAACAAGATAGCATTTCAACGGGACTGTAAGTTGAAAAGGATAGTACTGGTCACTGAGCATTCTCATCTTATTTTTGAAGTAAGAATAGGACAATTACTAACTGAGAACATTCGAATAACCATTTATCAGCTCCACTTCAACTATTGTGTTATTTCCTGAAACAAATTATACAAGAAATCATAACTATTTATTGACATACTTGTTATACTCCCTTGTTTTGTTATACCAAATTGTTCGACCTCTATTGGCATATGGGCTCCTATGCGGAAACCCCGATATTGCCTGAATGTTAATTGTGATAATTTGGTTGGTTGTGGCTAGAAGAAGAATCCAGGACGCGCGTTTCGTCCTACTTGGGACTCGTCACCCCGGCCAGCCACAATCACCCAAATTATCATAATTGGCATTCAGGCAATATCGAGGCATTCGCATAGGAGCCCATATGCCAATAGACATCGAACAATTCGATCCAACAAAATAACGGGGAATAATAAGCATGTGAATACACAGTAATAGCTATCACTCGTTGTACAAGAAGTGACTATCATTCCTCTGTGGCATAGTGGATAACGCCTTGGCATTTGAAGCGATGGGTACGAGTCTCAGTGTAAGCAACATCACGAGTGCAGGTTCATCCAGCTGACGAGTCCCAAAGATGCAGAGTTAATGTAATGCTTGATATTTAAAATAGAACTAAAACGTTGCTCATCAGTAATCACATGATGAATACGGTAGTCAACATTTGTTTACGAATTAATCACTAGTGGAAATTTACATTCATCTTTTCCCTACCTCTATGCACAGAAAGATGAAAAAAAAAGATGAACGTACGTGAAGTTCATCCGCTTGGTTGTTCCTGTCCATCTGGAAATAATTTGTTCATTTCCAGTGTTAAACGCCTGAAAATATTGAAAATATAAAATATAATTAGGCAATAGCTTATAAGTAAACAACTTCTGTTTTGTATACGAGCATTTCTAGAATGATATTTGATTAGTGCTATCCATAAGAAAGTGACGAAATAATCAAAGCATTTGCTATACTTCTACTAGCAATAGTATACTCATTAAGATGTGAAAAAAGGATAAGTATTTCAGCGAAGTCTCTTCGGCAATTTCATCCTCAAAGCTATACACTCGGAAACCCAAGCATTTTCTCTTGTTTTAAGGGCTGATCGTCAAAAGTGATTTGTCAGGCATGTAAACAAAATATGTATCAAAATCATACGCTAATTGTCATTAAAATCAAAAACTATTATTTAAGATTAATCAGAATATGACTGGAGTTACGTAAATATTAGTAACTTAGAAGACATTTCGTAACATGATTTTGCGTTTTACAGTCTAAAGAGGAAGATATCATACTCTGTAAGGCGAATATCCTCTGTATCAACGCTGAGACAACTATTCTCCTGTCGACTAATCATTTCTAGCTACTTCAAGTACAATCATTCGCATCTGACCACCTTTATATGCGTATATAAATTCACCTGCTCTTGGGGAGCCAGATATATAGGTCGTTCGATGCAACTGTTAACTAAAAGTGTCCAGGAGAACTTTCTTCTCTTGTGATTACAAAAAGATAACGGTGGATGAATACGAAGTGCTATAACAAACACGTTATGAACATGGATAACCCTATCCCAGGAACCTTCTCATTCAAAGTTATTGATATAGTGAAAAGAAACCTTACAAAGGCAGTATGTTTTCACATTCTCTGTATTACTAAGTCGTTTGTCATCCATATGAAAAGAAAATGGTTTAAAATCTTCTCCTTTCATGATCTTAGTATTCAGCCATTGAAATCACTTCTTTCCTTTTACAATGTTCGCTTCTTAAATGATGTATGATTCATTCTTGTTTCTATTCTCTTCCTGATCATACTTCAGTTTCTAAATATTTTGTCATGTTACAAAATGTCTACTAACTAAATAATGTTTTCACAACTCCGGTTGTATACTGATTACTCTTCACCGTTCATCACAGTTTTTGATGTTATTGACAGCTTAGGTATTATTTTGCTATATATTTTCCTGCAGCGTTTGACAAAATAATTTTTCTTGTAAACCCCTAACACAAGTAAAAATGCATAAATTTGCTATTTTACAGCCGTGAAAACGAAATCGCTGAAAGAAGACTCTTCACTGAAATACTTGTTCTTCTTTCAACTACACAGTAGGCATACTGGGTGATACTAATAGGCAACTCAAAACTTACTTTTCTTATCTCTATATTTTTGGAAAAAACCTAAGCTTCATAATACTTTTTTCTTAGTTATCCATGAATTAAATGTATAACTACAATTTGATGTGTACCTCTTAACACTGAGTTAAAGTTTAAATTTTGGTTTTCCGTTTGGTGAGTTGTGGTTGCCTAGGATCTCTTTTCTAGTCTACGCATCAAAGTTCCAAGAACTTCACTCCAGCCGATTAGCAAATAAAAGATAACATTGTTTAAAGATGTTTAAAACTGGTAGTATTACCTTGACAAGGATTAGAACGAAGTAAAGATGTAGAGAGCTTTTAGTAAAAAACGACGTGATTGCCTCAAAATCCAGGTTGCATTGATCAGTTCTCGTTTGGTTCAACTAATCTAGTTAACTTTTGTTGGAAATTACTATTACTTCACCAGAGGTTAATTTCTTCGATTTTCTTCTCTGCAATTTAGTTTGACTGTAAACGTAAATTTTAATAAGTTCCTTAAAATTTACGCATGTAACGATAGGAATATCTGATGAATATTTTTCGATACCACGATGTTTGACTAGGTGTGAATGCATAATTGTTGAATTTCTTCATTTCAGTCAAGTAATATTCATCGTACAATAAATGTTATCTAGTATAAATTTACACCGTCAACCTAATAACTGGAAACAAGATACATACATCTGTTTTAGTGACCTGTAATTTGATGTATGCTTCATAAAGAAGTAGGTTTAGGTAGTATCATCATAGTCTTTTTTCATAACAGACCACTAAACTTATTGATGAAAAAAAATCATGAATAAAACAGTTAGAAGAAAAGTAGTAGAGATTACTGATCAATAAGTAGTGCTACTTGAGTTCAACTTCTAAAAAGTTTAGTTTTCTCATAAACTACGGATAGTTCAAGTGTTTTCAAGTAAAATTAATGAGCATTTATCAGAAGATTCAGTTAAGCACTGCAAAAGACTTGAAAATAAAGAAAAATTATGGAACTGATTTTAAACATTAAATATTATCCAGTAAAATCCAGTACCATCATGTCCGTACTGACCTCCTGTAATTAATTCTGACATGCAAGTCATCTTTGTAGTTCATTCCCAATCAACTGAAAAGCTTATCACTTCCACAAATATTACTGAAGGCTTGAACAATGTGAATAGAATATAATGGTGAGTAGAGTGTGGTGATATGCCAAGGATAAAATTTATCCTAGTTCTAAAGCAGTAAAACTATAGGCTATTAGTTAACTGGACTCTGAGCTGAGAATAAATTCTCTACCGAGGAAATTCGTGGTTAATGATCTACAGTAGAAATGAATGCCTATGTTTCTCATTTATTTCGAGAAGGCTAAACAGAGCAGAGCGAAGATGAGACGACTAAAACTTTTCAAATTTCTCGAAAGTCAGAAACAAGAATGGTATTTTATTTCAGACCTAATTTGGCATGTTTACAACTTTTCCACTATTGAATTAGATAAGATTCAAAGGTATTATCTTTGGGTCCTGAATTCGGTGACTATAGACAAAAAATTAGCCAAATAGACACAAATGTACACTTTGAAAACTTACACTCACTAGCAAACGAACGGCTTCCGTCTTCTGACAGTGAATTAATGAGGTTTAGAACTAGACTGGTTGATAGTTACCAATGATACAAAAATACCAGTTATTTCATAAAAGATTTGCTTACGAAACCACAAAGAGAAGCTTTGTTTAAGCTGAGGAACGGCGAAAATTTAACGATAAGTAGACCGGACACAGGGGATACACCCTTCACCTACTTTCATTTGTGAAGAAACAATCGTGAGTAAACTACGCTTCTTGGATGCCTTGTTGAGCAGAAAAGGTGGCTCACTTAGGAAACGTGTTTACAGGAAGACCATATCTATCTATCAGTATATAAATTTTCTTACCCATGTACTTGTTCGGCACAAAGCAAACCTGGTTGAATGCCTCACTAACAGAGCGAGAGGAATATATTCGGATGACTTATACATAAGGATTTAGAATATATTCGTGACTCAGTGATCGAATTAGGCTAACCTAACAGTTTCATTAAAAAAACATGGAAAAAGTAAGAGAAACAAACCTGGGATTACTACACCACAAAAGAAACCGTTGTTCATCAAATTGCAATTTAATGGATATGCAGCCGGACAAATTTTGTATCAGAGGCTCTCTAGAACCACTATAAGGATTTGCTACGTCACGTAACTCTGTCTATCATTTTCTAGCCGACCAGTTATTGCTGCTCAGACAAAGGATAAGTTATCTAGTTTTGCCATTTCTATGAGTATTCACAAATTTAGCTATATAGGGCGTACTACTTGACAACTTAATAAACGTGTTGCTACACACCTACATTCATGGTTGGGAAAGAGATAGATAAAAGTCATCGTAAGTTCTGATTTATCTCATCTCGTTGGTAGGGGTCACTCAATAGATAAGATTAATGCTTTGAAGAGTATTCACCATATACTAACTAATCTTTTGAAAAAGTATTCGAACTCGTTTTTTACACATAGCAGAAGCTATAGAAAATCCTAGTCTTTATATGCGGAAGAAGTTTGAACATCCTTTATCTCTCTTTTGGCCTTAGAAATACTTAATAAAAAACTTTATCACTGAAATTTTTTCTACGCCTTTCTTATTCCTCACACCTTTTATGTGCGTACTACATTTGTTTAGACTTTTTTGATCCACTTACTTCGTTCTTCTATTTTTCCAAGCTATTGACTCACTTTGATGAGAAGAATATCTAAATTTTCATGCTGCTTTCTTTGTTTCCTATCATCATTACCATCCATATTACGACTAGTTTAGTCAGTTCTGTCAACGTTATCATTTTTATTATTTGTTTTACTGTCACCATCGTTATTTTAAAACATTTATCACATTAATTTTAGGTTGAAATTCATCATCGACTAACATCATTTGGAGGAACATTAAGAACTTGAGAGCACTGGACAGCTGTTTTGTCTTAGCATGGGATTCCTCAGCAGTGAGCACCCATGACCCCGCCATAGATCGAACCCAGGAACTTCAGTTGTATAATCGGCCGAGATCTGCTACACCCAAGAGAAAAGTATCAGTAACCAGGGAAAAAGTCTCACAAAAACAGTCTTGGCGTAAAATATACCTGAAGACTTCAAAAACTTGTCTAACTATCACAAGTTAGTCAGTTCTAACGATCAAGGTAGTACTGAATTATTATATGTCAAACTTTATCATAAGAAGTGAAGTGCCTACATCTTAAAAGATTCAACCAAATCATCTTTACTGATGGATATGTCCTTAAGTAACTGCGAAAGTATGAGAAGGGGAATATTTATCCTTTCATCAGACCTTCTAGTCATCCTGTACCCAAAACTGCTGCGGGTATCGTCATGAACACTACAACAAGTCTCCAAAGCCATTATCCAAGTTTCTTCTTAGAATTCGCTACAACTATAGGACTCTGAAACAATTTCAAAGCTGTTTTTCTATTATTCTAATTTTAATCAATATCAGATGACCTTTTGTACAGTAAAATTAATCAGTAACTCTGCTTTTATATATACAATTGTTGCCTAACAACCTATAGAAACAATAGCCTAGATAGAATTGGAGAAAAGAACACAGATCATTATAAACGTGATAACGTTTCATTACAAAAATAACGATTCCCATATGGCAGTAGACGGATGCTACTGAGACT